GGTTGCGGGGCCGGTGGCGGGCCTGCGGGGTTAGGCGGCGGGGTACCCGGGGCTGGGCGGCGGCGGGGGTCGTCCGGCGGTGGCGGGGTTGGATGAACCCCGCGGCGGGGGTCCGGGGTCCGCAGCCTAACACCGGCTTTGCACCCAGGGTTCCCCGCTCGACAACGCTGGTTATTTCCACCTTCACTCGTTTTCGTCTATTGTCTTCTCTGTTCATACCAAAGTGAAACATTCAATCACAACATGACACAAAACAATCACAACAACTTAAGACCGCCGTTCGCGCATTGCCTCTGCAAATGTTTTTTTCAGAATAAGAAATTCGTTTTTATCTCCGTGCATTACCGACGTTTTGTGTCTGGCGAGGTTCATGATTCAATATACCATTCAACATACCATTTAACATACCTGAAAGCAGACCTGCACGACGGAGGCGATCGTACAAAATTTCGCAGAAGCCTTACCCGCAACTCGCAGAATCTTTTTGCCCATCCAATCGAAATATAGTACATGATTGTTCAAGCCTTCCTCATGCCAGACGTAACCTTTCTCCTCGTCCTCACGAAGAGCGGCACAGTGTCTAGGAGCTGCATGCCCTTGCGACTTGCAATACCAGCAAAACATGTTATTGATCCATCTTTCCCTTCGCAAATCCCTATTGGATTTCTGTCGTTTTGGCTCCCTCTCCTCCTCTGCAGTGCTGTCTCCTCCCAAATTTTCATTCCCTTTCCCTCCCAACAGTACCTTCTCTTCCACCGTTGCTGTCTCTTCCATCGCTTTCTCCTCCATTTCCCTCTCCTTTATATTTTCCTGCCTTCTTTTTTCTTTTTTCTTAATTTTTTTTCCCTTTTCTTTCTCGACCGCCATCACATGCATTATTAGTTTCTCCAGATTTTTCATCTTGTCTGCCAACATCTTCATCACCTCTCCTTTCTCCTCCCCTTCTCTTTCCCCTTCCGTTCCCTTCCCTGCCCCTTTCCCCAGACCCTTTCTCACTTCGGCTTCCCTCTTTTCTATTTCTCTTTCTTTTGCCTTCAACTCCTCCATTTTTTCTTTCACGGTTTTCAACTTCTCACCTACTTCCTTCATTCTCTCTTCGTGTAGTTTCTTCCTCTCCTCTTCCCTCGCCTCCAAATCTTTCTTTATCCATTTCTTTCTATAACTTTTCCACTTTTGTCCGTACATGGTTCTGAATTGTACGACTTCCTCGTTCCAATTCCTTTCCAATTGGTTCACTTTCTCCCTCGTCGCTCTCGCAAACTCTTTTGAGCTTTCAAATTTCTCTTCCAACACGTGAATCTGGTCACTCGTCTCCTTCAGAGTTATTTGCATGCGTGTTATCAAAGCATTTGATTTGCTTGCATGCTCGGTCGAAGTCGACGTCCCATCCTTTGTCTCATTTTCTTTGTTTCCCCCCTCCTCATCACGCCTGCGAGACAACGTCATCTTTTCTCTCTCAGTTACAAGTCTTTTTTCAGTATTCAACCCCCTTCTGCCTCCGCCTCTTGCCATTCCACCTACTGCCTCCCTACCTCATCCTCTTCCCGTTCCACCTACTGCCTCCCTACCTCCTCCTCTTCCCGTTCCACCTACTGCCTCCCTACCTCCTCCTTTTCCGCCGCCCATGTTCCTCCCGCCTCTCCCACCGGCTGCAAAAGTTATTGCCACTCCTGCGTCTGACATGATGACCCTGTAAAAAAAAAAAAAAAAAAAATAGATATTGCAAAAAAAACGAGGTGAACATAACTAACAAACATCCCTACATAATTCAAGTACATAGAAACTTTCATGATTGATGTGTTTTGAATGTTGGATCTTACGTCAAAACTATCACTCAAGAAAACAAAGGTGCACATAACTAACACATGGAGGTTTTTATGATTGTTGTGTTTTCAATGTTGGATCTTACATCGAAAATTTCACTTTACAGTGTACAATACAACATAAACCTACACGATTCCAAGTTAATCATCCACACGAAAATGCCATGAATCTGAAGTCCTCGAGTATTGAACAGATCCTAAATGTAAGGCAGGATCATTGATTGCTTCAACATAACTCTCTACTAATTTTCGTATATATGTGCTAATCGCCTCTTCGAACGCTCCCTGGTTGCAGGGGTTACCTACACCCCAAAATCCTGCCTCGTCAAACACGTTCTTCGCCCATGCTACCATGTGCATCGCCCTTTCGTCTACACCTACTCTCACACTCCTCACTTCGCATCTCCGCCATCTCCTTATATCTGCAGAGGTCAGTGGTACTTTCCACAACCTCCTCAAAAGGAAACCTAACAACTGCTGCCAGGAGCACATTGCTATACTTGAACCCTCGTGTGCAAGGAACCTTTTCAACATTGTCATGCAACCCCAGGGATTTCTTTCTATCCAGTGTAGGGACCCTCTCTCTTCTCGATCTTCTTTTTCTCGAGGCATCCTGCAACAATTAGAGTACCAATGCAACATATCTCTATTTCACAAAAGGATGATTGAGGTACTTTCTTGTAGCCTTCTTGTAACCTTCTTCAACAAACGTTTTATCGCCAAAAGACTCATGACTATCTGACCAAGTGAAAGTATGTATCAAATACACTCTCGACATTCGGGACAAACAAGAAGGAAAGAAAAAAAACAAATCGAACATCAGTCTTTTTAGGCGGTTTTTAATTCCATTTTTCAAGAAACACGAATGCCATGAAATTTTTCAACCCGTTCGAAAATTCTCAACAAATATTAAAATTGTTTACCCCCCGGAATAATCTCAAATAAACTTGTAGATTATTGTTTTTTTTTCTTTTTTTTGGGCTAAGCTAAATGACGTCAAAGTTCAACAATTTCAACGAATAACAATTCCAAAACGTGGGTGTATATACGTATTTTTATATATGTAATAGGTTTTGTCGGCGCCCGAACAGACACCGAACGCCCTACGCACGGAGATCGACCCAAAGACCTCCGTACGTACGAGTTGGTGACCCTGTGTACAAAAACAAATATCGCTACACCATGTGGTTCAGTACATACAAAGAGATAGAGAGTGAGGGAGAGTGAGAGAGAGAGTGAGAGAGAGAGAGAGAGTGAGAGATACGCCCATACACACATACACATTCACACATTCATCAATGTTCCAAAAACTTTTTGAATTCTGCACACAAAGAGATAGAGAGAAAGAAAGAGACGAATAATCAAAGAAGAGGTTCATTCACAAATCGTACATAATTAAATTTTTCTCGTACATACTAGTCCACAACCTTTCTGACTTTTGTACACAGGGGGATAGCAAGAGAGAGAACCGTATCTGTTTCCCACCTAATTTCCTTGAATCGGCTGCGGTAAATTAAAATTCAATATGAACATTTCTGGCCGGCTAAATTTCGAGAGAGTGAGAGAGAGTGAGAGAGAGAGAGATACGCCCATACACACATACACATTCACACATTAATCAATGTTCCAAAAACTTACTGAATTCTGCACACAAAGAGATAGAGAGAAAGAAAGAGACGAATAATCAAAGACGAGGTTCATTCACAAACCGTACATAATTAAATTTT